GTACACTGTAGTTGTTCGATGAGCAGTTTTGTAACATCCCGACTCCCAGGTATAATATTTAATTAATATATATTCATTTTGTCAGGGTGGCTCGACGAGTTGGAGGCCCCAACTTTCCGAGTAGAATAGGAGACACCCGCATGATTTTTAGAGTCTACTCGACGATTTGGTGGACCCCAACTCGACGAGTAGGAGTTGAGTATGAAAACCTTAATTTTCAGGGTTTGTGTCCTATTTAAAGGACCTTAAGCCTTCATTTCCGCTTCCCTTATCACTTTAACACCCTGAGAGAAACCCTAAACGAGCTGGTATCATCTGTGAGAGAGAGAGAGAGAGATAGACTAAAAGTGTATGATTTGGTGCATTCTTGGAAGGAGAAAGAAGAGCATAAGGTTTGGAACGAGAAGAAGCCTCTGAATCCGGTGTTCTTTCAGTGCTAGCTACTTTTTGGAGGTAAAAATCTATCACCTTGATCATTGTTTGGTTAGATCTCTTCTTTAGGGAGTTTGTGGCCATTTCTATCTTCTTTTTTGAGCCTTTGAGTTGTTTGAGCATGCCATGAAGTTGAAACTTCAGATCTGGGGGCCTAAAGATTCAAGCTTTATCAAGCTATTGGCCAAGTTTTATGCATTAAGCCCTCCATAGAGCCTTGTTTTGTCACTTTGAGTGCTAGGTGCCATGCATGGACGTAAAGCTTGCAGCTTTACGTGGTATTTCAGCCTTGGGAGGCTAGATCTAAAGTATGGGGCTTTAGTTCTGCTTAAAATCGTCTGAATGAGAAAGGGACTTAAGGGACTCGACGAGTGGATGAACCAACTCAACGAGTCGGTTAGGGTTTTCCCCGATAGTCTGGACGTGCTACAACTTGGCGAGTTGATGAGAGAACTCGACGAGTTGAGTTGGAGTTTTCCCAATTTTCTGAGAAGAGGAGGAACTCGACGAGCCGCATAGGTACACTCGACGAGTTGGGTCAACATGGACTGTTGACTCGAGTGTTGACTTTCGTTAACTTTTAGGGTTTGGTCAAGTGATGGATATGGAGACCATGGAGGGGGTAAAATGGTCTTTTACCCTTTTCCGGAGTTAGAAAAGGGATTAGCCTAACCTTTTTAGTGTGATTATTATAAAGTGTTAATTAGAGATGATTGTGATATGTAGGCGGAGTCTAGACCGATCGTTGAGTGCGAGACATATTTGCTTTGCTTACGAGGTGAGTCTTCTCACTATACTTATCTGAGTGGTAATACTGTGTGACCGGAGGGTCCTATTTGAGTTATCGACCAGAGGGTCCTATGTGCTTATATTGAGTTATGTGATATTATGCATTTTGTCTTTGTGATATATGCTATATTATTCTGTGCCTTACTGAGTTAAGATTGGGGGGTCCAAACCGAGTTGTGAGACCGAAGGGTCTTCACTGAGATACAAGACTGGAGGGTCCGACCCGAGCTGTGAGACCGAAGGGTCTTCACTGAGACACATGACCGGAGGGTCCACATCGAGCCGTGAGACCAGAGGGTCCTCACCGAGACGCATGACCGGAGGGTCCATGCCGAGCTATAGCCATGAGAGGCTTATTATTTGTGTATGTGGTATTTTGGGGAACTCATTAAGCTTCGTGCTTACCGTGTTGTGTGATATGTATTTCAGGTACTTCTCAGGGTCGCGGGAAGGTGCCGGCTTGATTGTACACACCAGTTAGAGATCATGATTTTGAGGATTCTCGGATTTTATCAAACATTTGTTGACTTGTGTTTTGACAACTTACACATTTTGTGGTTTTTGGGAAATATGATGTTGAGTTTATGTGATTTTAAAAATGAAAAATTTATTTGAAAATTTACAGTGTTACAATTTTTTTGTGGATCTAGTCCCCATTCCCCTACGAGGGAATAAGGTTATAGTTGGTATGGACTGGTTGAGCTCCAATAGGGCAGTGATCGACTGCGAGCAACAACTAGTGAGAGTTCGGACTCCTAGTGGGGGAGGGTTAGTGATTCAGGGCGAGAGGCCGCAGGGTGGACCGACTTTATGTTCAGCAGCGAGAGCGAGGCGCTACCTTCAGCAGGGTTGCGCAGGTTATGTCGCCTACGTTATGGATACCCATGATAAGGGTAAGACCACATTGGATGATGTACTGATCGTGCGAGAGTACCCAGATGTATTACCGGAGGATTTTCTGGGATACCTCCGGAGAGATAGGTTGAGTTCAGGATTGACCTAGTCCCTGGTGCGGCTCCGATAGCCAAGGCACCATACCAGTTGGCTCCTCCAGAGATGCATGACCTGTCTACACAGCTACAAGAGCTTTTAGACAAGGGATTTATCAGGCTGAACAGTTCACCATGGGGAGCCCCGATCCTGTTTGTGAAGAAGAAGGACGGGTCACATCGGATGTGCATAGACTACCGGGAGCTGAATAAGGTAACAGTGAAGAACCGTTATCCAAACATCATTTTTGACTTTTAGCTTTTTGAAAAAGCCAAAAGTCCTAAAAGTCATTCTCAAAAGATATCCCAGACACACTCGAAATTGAATTGTGACTCTGGCTGTGTAGTTTGAATTGTGATTGCTACTTTAAATTTGAGAGTTTGATTCGAGTTCAATAGTTGGCTGCTGCTTAATGGATATCTGGAACTTCATTAATGAAATTTCTCTAATTTCGTTAGTTTATTAATCATTACTAGAACTTCATTAACTTAACTAGGTTATAGCCCGTGAGAACCACGATTATAAAAATAATTAATTTTATAATAAAAACTCATAATTATTAATCAATTATTTTTATTAAATTATTAATTAAACGATTTATGTTTTTTGTTTATATAAAATTATAATCGTTGATTCAAATAAATATGTTAAATTAATTTTCAGGATATATGAGACAATTTTTATTTGTGAATTAATGAAAAATAATGATATTGTATAGTGAAATGTAAAATTGATTATAAAAATAAAACAACTACAATAAGTGAAGTAAATTAAAATTGGTATATGACAAATTAGATAATTAAGTTGTAGAAATAAACATATATGAAAAAATATAACAAATTACAAATGAAAATTAACAACAATGTTTTATTACAAATATAAAAAAATATAACAATTTACAAATGAAAATTAACAACAACATGCATTTTTTTGTTTAAAAATAGAAGCCGCACACTATTTTTTTGCTTAAAAACAAAGTAACATGCTACTTTTGTCTTAAATGAAAGTACGTCACTATAAGTGGAAAAAAATCTCATTTATATGTCATTCTAATGAATATTGCAAATGAAATAAAAGTATATTGTTATAAATGGAAAAATAGCTTATCCCACTCTTCTACCCAAACTGATATATTGTGTTACTAAAATACCTGTCCATCTTGTTAAGTTTCACTTATTCCCACATGTAAACAATCACTTCCCAAAATACCCCTCTTCTACCCAAATTGATATTTTGTGTTACCATATATTCTTTACTTCAAATCGATCAGATCAACCTCCTGTAAATGTTTTGTTGCTTCAAAAATCATGCACCAAGAACATCATCATCAATGTATAACTTAACACATCAGATTTATGTATGTTCTTGTATAAAGTACCAACGACTTGTCTCCTGAAATGACTAAGTTGTTCATAACAATTCCAAAATTCCAACAAAAGAAATCCAAGTATAAAGGTAGATGAACACCTTGCTATTTTGGTCCCCAAGTAGAGCTTATGTGCAAACAATTAGTTATTTTTCTATAAAAGTAAATAAACTTAAAGTAGAAAAGATGAAAAAAGTTTATCAAAAACTGGAAGTACATTGTTGTAATGAAACTGGAACCGAATGTTCTAGCATCCTACTTTTAGAAAATTCCAAAACTATGCATTTTAAAATAAAAAAGTGGTATAATACCGAAATCAGTTCATCAGACACTAAATATAAAAATACATTTTTTTACCAATGATTTTCGCAATCTTGGTCCCAAAATGTTTGTTATTGCAAATTCAGTCCATTTTTAGGTTTCTAATGATTTTCGTCTATGTGATGTAGTTAACAGAGATTCTTACATTTTCCTTTGGCAAAGAGGGTTTGTTTTTGTTTTTGCATAGTAATGACAGGAATTTTAGATTTAAAGGGAATTTCGGATTTCAAAACAGAAAATATTAGCTACTATTGTTTAGTTTATTTTAGGATTTCATCAAAAACTTTAAATTTAGAGTTTATTCTCATCTTTATTTAAGTAATGTTTATCTAATGTATATTTTTCCACCTAGTATTGATCTGCATATCCAGAGATTTACCTTCAAAGTCGATGTACCTTTAAAATCGGTGCATGTGGTGATTCTGGAATGCGTAGACGTGACTTTAGCTTCAAAAACTTGATGGGAGGCAGCAGGGTTTTCCAAATTGTAAGGGTTTAAAAGAGTGTGTGGCAGTTTAATCAAGATCTAGAGGATTTAGTTTTGAAGTTTGGCGAGAATTTGAGGGACTTGGGTTTTAAATTTGGCCATAGGCTTTTGGTTAAGGAAGAAAGGCAAAATGGGAATTTATATATGTTTTTGGTTTGAGCGGAATTTCAGAAATAGCTGATAGATCAGACGGTTTCAGAGGGTTTCAGAAGCAATTGATGGAGTGACAAAGGTGATGGCAAGCGACGGCTATATGGTGGCAGTGGTCATCTAGGGTTTGTCTGGTGAAAGGAAGAGAGTGTAGAAGATGAAGTAGAGATATAAAAACGAAGAAAGACAATATATGGAGTAAGGGGCAAAGATTGTTCTTGATTTTATGGGATTCAAATGATTGATGTATATAAAATATCTTACAAATCGGGATCGATGTATAACAGTTGCTGGTTTTATGGATTGAGTAAATGGGCAGGAAAGTTTTGTGTTAATTGATTAACATAATGCCACATGGCAGATTGTTAGTCTAAAAGAATGCCAAGTGGACTCTAATGGAGAGGTTTTTATTAGGAATAGATAACTCATTTTATAACTTCTTTACTGCCTACTGGACCAGTGCCTATGCCTACTGGACCGGTGCCTGTAGACTATAGTTAAGATATGTTTATATATTTACATTTTTTCCACAAAAACAATTATAAATCAAGGGAATATTCATCCGTTTTGGTAATCTTCGAGTTACAAAAAATCAAACTAAAAATAGTAAACTATTGGCCCTCATATATACCGATGTTTGTGGACCATTTAGTACACCAACTAAGGAATGACCGAAGAATCTACACCCAGTTAGATGCTCAAATGGTGAACAAAGCATGGCGGATCATACCAAGACCAGGAAACCGTTCTCAACAACCACGCTCACCGCCACCGCGTCCATCAACCACTCATTCTCCACGGTCCCCGTGGTGTCGGCAAGACCACCCTCATCCTTGAACGTAATAATCCGTATGAATTTTGATTTGACAATTGACATGTTCAATTGTTCATTGTGGTTATCCATGAATTTTGTTTAATTGCAATACAGGGCATCTCGAGAACTGGAACAAGGGGCCTCATGTCACTGGTTACATCGACTTCGCACAATCAATTGAAGAGAACCACCCACACCATGGTCATTCGTTTCCATGGGCATCTTGGTCGAATTGCAAACCACCATCTCTCCCCACCCTCCGGACCCAACTCGAGCAGTGTCTTGAGTCCATGGCTGAAAAGGGTGTTCAACTCGGTACCATAAGCTCCCACCAGATTTGCAAAACTCTTGGAAAATGGCATAACCTGGATACATCTCTCAAAAGAATTATTCAAACTAAGAACGAAACAACCACCTCCAAGAAGGCTTTGTCCAATAAAGTTTCAACATTATCTTTGTGGGACAAGGCTGTATGCACACTAACTGCTCGACTAAATGCCACAGAGATCGATGAGATTTCGGGGTTTAAAGAGAAGGGTAAAAACGTGAGTCTCCAAGAGACTTCGTATTATAGGGAAGGGATAGTTGCTCTGAAACTCGCTAAGGAAGTGATCAGGGTTCAACAAGGGTTTAGGGCTAATGCTGTTAAGCATTTGAATAGAACTGGTGGGTTTTTAAGAACTTTGGCTAATTCAGCTACTGATTGGCCCTATTTGTTGCTTGAGTTGTTGTCTGGAGCTACTCAATCTGACTACTTTCAGGTACATATAAACAATCTTTCAGTTTGTTATCCACAAAATATAATCATGCCACAATGTGTGGTCTCCCTGTTTTTTTTTTTTTTTTGCCATTTTGTTGCGATTTGTGGAACAGCCAAAGTTGGTAATAAACAATATCGAAGTCTTGAAAATTGCTGCTTTGGTGGATGATTCATCAGTCTCTGGATCCATGTATCATGACAGTCTGATATGGAGAATAATAGCTTTAGGTGCAAATGAGATGTGTTTGCCTGTGTTTCTCATAACTTCTGACAGGTAATATATATATATATATATATATATATATATATATATATATATATTCTTTTTGGCTAAAATTACTTAAATCATATACACTGTTGAACATCTTTGTATGGACACCTATCTTTTTCCCCCCAAAAGTTCAAATTCACAATAAATTTGCAGCTATTATTCATACGGAGCTTATATGGATTTTGGGTTTCCTGACATTTCCATTTCCCGTGAGGTAACCTAATCCCTGTTTGATATCATGTTTCTTTTTTCTAATTATGAAATCTTGAAGCATAATATAAAACATAAAAGATTGTTACTTTTTTCACTTTTCATTCCATATAAAAGACATTTGGATGGACTCCACAACAAGCCAAAGTACATATGGTTCCAGATTACTTTAGCCAATCAGAGGTGAGTTCATATTGATATTTTTTTGACAAATTTCTATGCTATATTTATATAAATTTTTGGTTCTGGATGCATTTAAAATCTGAACTTGTACATTCTGTTTGTTTAATATCTAGTGGGATTTAATCGTTGAGGTGCTTGGGCCAAATCCACGTCATATGTTTGAGATATATGCTCTAAAACAGAGCAATTACTACCAGTCGTAAGTAATATATACAGTATATGAAGTACTATTAATTTGAGTTTTCTTATTTTGTTATGTGACACTCATGGCAATTGGCATGCAGGCTCATGGATGATAAAGAAAATACACTCGAGGACATTATAGATGCGTATCTAGCACATTTGCAAGTAAGTTTTATGCTTCAGAAATTCATAGTTACAAAATGATCCATAACAGTTTCTTGTTTATCTGATTTTTTAAGAAAATCATGTCAATTCTTGTCCCCATTTACAGGTTACTGTTGTCAATCCTGCAATGGATAGAGCACTGTCAATCTTGCAAAAGTTTGCTCTTGATGCTCAAAAGGGCAAAATTGTAAAAGACAAATTACGATCTGGTGCCCCTTGGAAGCACCCACCACGTAAGGATGACCCTTGCCTGCGTTCCGAATGGGCAAAGCTTCAACTAATGGATTTCATCCAATGTTTAGTCAGTGCCGAGTTTGGGGTATGTTTGTCTTTTTCTTGTTTTAGTTATTCTGGTTGTGAAGAATACACAAATATATCAAGAAATTTACCAAAAAACTATGGTTCTAAGAAACCATATAAGGTAGCCTGTGAACGTGTATCTTCAATCTAAATTGTTGTGGTTCATATTCACACTGGCAAATTGCAGGAAATAGCAACATACTTTATTTGTTTTCCTAATATAGGCAATGTACTTTCTATTTACCCATAATAGCAATGTACTTGCGTTTATATTTCCCATTTTAGCAGCATAGTTACATTTTTTTTATGTATAATAGACATATGTAACCCTAATAGCATCACATTTTACATTTTCTACACATAATAGCAGCATGCTTCCAATTCGTTATCCATAATAACAACATACTTACATTTGTTTAACAATAACAGCAATATGTAACAAATAAAGTACATTACCCATATTGGTAACACAATTTAAGTACATCGGTATTATGAGTAAAAAGTAAAGTACATTACCCATATTAGTAACAAGAGTAAAGTATGTTGATATTACCTGCAATTTACCCTATTTACAACTTGTTAAAACTAAAAGGATGCATGTTTCTATTTGCTTTATATAATTCGAGATTCTCTATATATTTTAATTCATTACACTAAATAATTCCAGATTAATTATTTTGCGGATTGTAGCCTTGAGATCTTTGATGATCCTTCCGTTAATGCAATGATGGAGGTTCTTTTCATATTCCAACAATTTTCTTTCACAACTTGATCCCTAATATCTGATATATTTAGTATTTACCCTTTTGAAAGTTAAAAAATGTCAAATACTTTGGAAATTTCCCAGGTTGGTTTACTGTATGTGCAGCGTGATCCATCTTTCTTTCGCCCAATATCTCGGGCTATTCAGAGATGTCTTGTGAGATGGTGAGGGCATTTACGTCTTTTACACAAGCAAGAATTTTCGGTATGCTAATGTTGCTTATATCTATCTCTCAGGCTTGTTCAGGAGAGAATTCACATGAGCTTTAAAAATTCACTGCTTTTTCGGTGGCATCGGGTTTTAAGAGGACGTAGCTATCGTCATCTCATGTTGCAGGTTGGCAATAAATAGAATTCAAGGTGTGGGTCCCACCTTTTATTTCCTTTAACATCCAAGTAAATGACTTATAAGTACTTCTTATTTTCTCAATATATAAAATAATGGTGGACTGTTTTCAGTTTATGCAGAAAAATGCTGATTCTTTTAGTGGTATTGCTGCCTCAAAAACTAACAGTAAGTGGTGGTTGAGAGCTATTCTTTAAGGCTGCATAAATGAAGAAAATTTGGATAAATAAAAAACTCCAATGTAGTAGTTGTGGCTGAAAACATAAGTAAAAACTCAAAAAAAATTCCAGCATTCATCCAGACAACACAAAATAGGGAAAACAAAGAATACAAAACTTGAGTCAGACACTATTTGCTCCATGCATTTTAGCACTTATGCTTTCATTTAACATCTTGCTGCATTTCCACGTTGTCAGTATTCCATTAACAGTTGCTTGCAGAAGCTTTAATGTCAACATCAACAAAGGAACTGAAATCATGTAAGATACCATTTTTGGTATGAAGTTTTATGATACAATATCTTATCATAGTTATAGATGTTCTATTCCTCTCTTTTTGCAGCTTTTGTACATCCAAATTGGCTGGTGATGGAACATATAAAAACTGTCAACTCCTTCATTAAGTCCCCTACAATACGAAGATAAAACAGATGGGCTATACCTTTAAAGATTCGGCTGTGAAACCTGATTTTTTGAAAGATGTTACAAATAGTTGACTTAATTTTTCTGAGGTTATGGAGCAACTTCAGTTTTGATTAAAATATAGGTGAGATTGTTGTAGAACTCAAAAATTACGTATACACATGTGACCATTTATTGAAGCTGCAACATCTATTATTTGTGATTTTATATGTTTTGTGATGGTTGTTTTTCATTTTCGTGTTTTGTGTTAACCGGTTTGGAATTTTTCGTGACAAAAAAGAAAACCAAACCAAAGTGAATCAAATCTAGATCAAAATTCTGATTTAATTTTGCTTCAGACTGAACGACCTAATTTCTATATGGATATTGCACTGGATGATTTATGCATTACAATGTTAAACGACGTTTTCTCCCGCCTCATGTTGCGGCGGCGGCAATGTATACGCGGATGGCTGTTTAGAAAAATTCAAAGTTGAGGGGATGAAATTGACATCTTGAAAACGTAAAAAAATTGCGTCCAGACATAGTAAAACTCGAATTTATATCGATATATACATAATAAAAAAAAGAGTAAATTACGCCAATGGTCCTTATGGTTTAGTGTAATTTGCGTGTTTGGTCTCTAACTTATTTTTTTAACTCGGAAGGTCCTTACTGTTCGTTTTTGTTACGTGTTTGGTCCCTGTCTTGACTAAAAATATTATTTTGCCTTTGATTTTTTACTTTATTTAAATAAACACACCCTCAACCCCACCTCCTCACCTTACCTTACCTACTCCACCAATTTTCCCTATTTAAATAATTGTCTTTTTAGGTAAGACAGGGACCAAACGCGTAACAAAAACAAACTGTAGGGACCTAGCGTGTAACAAAAGCAAATAGTAGGGACCTTCCGAGTTAAAAAAATAAGTTAGGGACCAAACGCACAAATTACCCCAAACCATAGGGACCATTTGTGTAATTTACTCTAAAAAAAAAAGTAAGTTTTTTTTTTTTAAATTAAATTATATAACAGAAGTTCTAAATTTACGTCGAAAAGTTGACTATCTTGAATTATAACGACACATAAATTAAAACAAAAACGTAAAAAAATAATTTTTTTTTAAGTCAAACGAACCATGAAAAATCAAATTATATAATATTATAGGGGATAAACACAAAAGTTTATAAAATAAAAGGGTGAAAATGATATTTTCTAAAATACAAAATGCAAGGGGTTAAAATAATATTTTAAAAAGTTTAGGGATTGAAAATGTCATTTTTTACAAAGTGGTTTAAAAAATAAAAGAGTTAAAAGTGTCGATTCAAAAATTAAAAGGATTTGAGGCAACTGTCGGCTCTACCCATACGTGCATTTAGTATATAGTGAATATTAGTAGTATAAAATGACTTTTTTTTGGCAACTTGACAGAAATGACCACCAATTCCTAATTTCTATATGGATATTGCACTGGATGATTTATGCATTACAATATTTAAATTTTAAAAGTTAGATATAATATTAGTATAAAATGACTTTTTTTGGCACTTGACAGAAAATGACCACCGATTTCTAAATTGCTTCTTGTGAAATTGCTTTTTTAATGGCCTCTTATCTCATAAAACCAAAATATAATCGTGTTGGGGCTTATCCACCTGTAACATATTTTGAATTCGTTTTATGTCAAAAAGATACTTTAAAAATGTTTTATGATCACCTTGTGGCATGCAATCGGGTTAGGGCTTATCTGTAGTCGACATACTATCAAACTTGTTACCAAAATGCTTGGAGTTTTTTAAATGACAACTACCTTATTGGGAGTTTACTATCTTATAAGTTGTTTAGTTTTAAACAAATGACGTCTTCAGTAAAACTAGCTGGTAGCGGGTAGCTTGTAGCTTGTAGCGTTTTGTTAAACGCTACATGAAGTAGCATTTGTATTTGGAGCGTTTTGTTTAAACTAAACGCTAGAAACTTGTAGTGCCAATCGATGATTTTTGTTCAAAACGGAGCGTTTTGTCAAACGCTAGAAGCTCTCAAACGCTCCCAAACACTTCGTGCCGAACACGCCCAAAATATTTTTAATGTGTTCGAAAATAAACGAGTTTGAAACGAGGGGCAAAATGTTTGAACAAATTGTGAAACTGATAAAAACAAAGTTTATAAAACAATTCAAAAATATGTCTCTAGTTATAACTTGTGTCACCGCTTTGAACCCAACTCTAAATGTTTGACGTGGTTGAGACTTTACTTTATAACATTTATTTACAATTTGAGTTTATTAGAAGAAGACCAAGATTTTGCATAAAAAATATCGAAATTTAACAAGTTTTTTCCAAAGTTTGTTTGAATTTTATGTAACAAAAGATGGTACTACATCAAACATCCATGACATGATGCGAAATGCGAGGGCATCCGGATTGACTTCTCACACAAAATCCCGAAACAATTCGAGTCTATAATACATTAAGAAACAAGAGTTTGAGAATTTCGATATTTTGACTTGGTGGAAAGAAAATGAATCCTATTTTTCGATTCCAGCCACTATGACCCGTGATCTACTAACTGTCCAAGCTTCTACCCCAACTCCAAATTTCACTTTTTTTTGTTAGTTGCAAGATTATGAGTGCGTTTGGTTGTTGTAAACTATTTTCATTTTTTTAGAATACGTTTTCAGAAAATAGAGTTGAGTTTTCGTTTTCGTTTTAGTTTTCAATGAAAATTTTAGAAAACACGTTTGGTTGAAATTGATAGAGTTTTCATTTTCCATCTTAGAAATTTAGAAACCTTTGAAAACTGTAAAAAATACTTTTCAAATTTAAATACAATTTGGAAAAAAATCATTTTCTTGGAAAACTTTTGCAAACTAAATCAACAAAACGTGTTTTCAAAATTTTCATTTTCATTTGAAAATTTTTCATGAAAAATTGAAAAATTTTCCACAACAAAATGCACTCTTATATCTCCAAGAATAACTTACAAAACTATCTTTTTGTCGGTGGAAGTTTACATTTGCTTGAAAAGCTACTTGAATAATGTGAAACAGATACAAAATGTTTTACAACTAGAAAACGAAATTGTAAGGATTGAACAAAAAATACACAAACAAAAACAACAATGTGATTATACTAAATGGCAGAGGAGGACTAAATCCAAACAATGTGATTATCGGTACCGGTTATCATACAAGAACTTAAATATGAAGTGAGATTATACTAAATGGCGGAGGAGGACTAAATCCAAACAACAAAAGGATAGTAACGATGGCTACGGACGATCAAATCAATGACTATAACGAAGAGGATGCTTCTTTTCAAATCATATTTTTATGTCTCAATATATATTTGTTTGATGTTTACATATGTTCATGAACTAAAAACCAAGAAAGAAAGAAAATTGCTTAAAAATGTTTTTATAGTGAATAGCTTTGAAAAAGCCCAATACTGCCGGATTTTATCGAACCGGTTTCAAACATTTCGGTCCGATCCGGTTTGTATAGGATCTGGTTTAGTGGTTTTGACTACTTTGACTCGATCAGAAGTCCGAACCCGTTTTAAAACCAGGTTAAGAAAAAAAAATCCGGTTTGCCCGCCTCTACTAGTTAGAGCCCAAGGCGCTTGGCTGTTGCTTCCTTTACGCAGGAAATCGACCGACGAACACTGGAACATCGAACAGGGGTGATTCACTATTTTCGGCCTCTTTCCCACATGCCGTCTTCTTGTCCTTCAACCCTTTCAGTCTTGGTAAAATTAGTAGTTCAAAACTTTAAATTTTGGTTTTAACCATTTTTTTGGGTAATTTTGAAAATCCTAAATTACTAGACATTGTTGAGATGATTTAATATTTTTATAAAATTATATGTGATCTATAGTCGTTTTTTAATATGATTTTGATAACTCTGTGAATTGTCTGAAGTTTAGAGTCAACAAATTATGTTTATTTGGCTACTGATTTTGAGATTCGGATTCTGTTTTGACAGATACTGGAACTAGACATCCAAGTTCAATTTGGTCAAACATAGATAGTTTTAGAGACATGGATGGTTTAATTTGAATAGCCACTAGTAGAAATAGAGTTGTTCAGTATATCTCTTTTTAGCATCCATAAGTTGTTTGTTTGGTAGAAAACAAGGTGTAAATCTAGCATTTAACCAAAATCAGTGTAATAATCTCTCCTTTTAGCATTCAAATATATGGTTACTCCGGCAAAACAAGAACATACTTCTTTTAACTTCTAATATATACATAAGACGACAGTAACATAGCTGCACAACATTAACCAACACTTACTACTATTAATAATTATGGAAACAATGGATTATTTGGCATATTTTCTATAAATTGAACTGAAAAGTAGATATTTTTGACCTAACCCAATTATTTTGACCATTTAGACTCGACTAGATTATATAGTTGATCGCCAGTGCCCCCTACGAAGGAATTTTCTGAATCTGCCATTGTAGGGAATAAGAAGATCTCATATTTAAATTGATGGGAAGTCTATTCTGGCATTTCTTACCTTATTCTTTTGACTACTATTTGACTAAATAGCACATAGCTTAGTATCCAAGGAAACATGAAAACATATAATGCAGGAGTGTGTATGTTTACACTGAATATCATTTCCTGATGCTATCTTCTTTGCATTTCATTTAAGTGCATCTTGAGTATTACATATTTCTTACGAAGTCTATATGAAGTTGAAAATAAGTTATTTCTTATATGACTAGCTATAGTCTTATAGCCTGATTTCACATTTTTACATATTTCCCTTTCCACATGTTACAGGTGGATTTTATTGCTAAACAATAATGCAATGGAGGAATTAATAATGTCTTTAAGGAGAATCTTTTACCACTAACATCGATTGGTTAGTTTCTTTGGGTTTATAAGGCCATGGGATTGGGTTCCCCTAAATCAATGGCTTCTGCATATCCTAAGACACTTGTACCAATTGCAGCTTCAATTGGGGGACTTGCCTTGTTCTTAGTTTTTGCCTCTTTGCTTCTTGTCGATCAGCCAATCGGATCTAAAGTTAGTTGGTACTTTTTTAACCTAGATCAAGCTAGCAAAGTGGATTTATCTCCCTTTAATAATGAAACAAGCATATTTGAGATCAAGGATAGGGCTAATGATACAGATACAACCAGAAAGATTGTTGATTCAGCTACCAACAAGACTGTTGATACAAATATCAACAAGACCACTGAGTCAGATGTCAACAAGACCATTGACTCAGATATAAACAAGACCGTTGACTCAGGTATCAACAAGACTGTGGATGCAGGTACCAAGAAGAGTGTTGATTCAGGTACCATTATTGTCAATGTCTTTACAGTTCTAAGGGGTTATTTCTGTTTGACTTAATAGGCTTAATGAGTTAAGCACTTAATCTGGAAAGCTATACATAACGGCTCTTTCTTTTCTACTTAATCTGGAGAGAATGAGTTAAGGTATAAAGACACCACCCGTTTACCTATTTGCCCTTCTTTTTTCCTCTCATGACATAATTTGAATAATCTAGTTAAACTTGATTTTTGGAATATTTGGGTAAACTGTTCATATAGAGTCTCTTTCAGATGGTTTATTCGGTCCAAACCTTATGTATACAACACTTTATCAAGACGTACATCATTATCTATCCAGCCACTTTACACATACAAGACTTGATGAAAAAAAAAAAAAAAAACGAAACCACCCATTTATTTATCTTCAACTCATTTGTTGACTTTGGTCTAGAAGGGTTTAAAATTTCATATCTGTCATAATAACTAATGTAGTATAAAAAATGCACTTTATTGTTTTTGTAGTATGAAAAAACTAAAAAAAGTGACATGATTATGATGGTTGGATTTGTAATTTGTACTTTTGTAGGGTGTGATTTGTATGATGGGAAATGGGTATATGACTCAGTTGGTCCTTTATACACGAACAATTCATGCCCTGTGTTGACACAGATGCAAAACTGCCAAGGAAACGGTAGGCCTGATAAGGAGTATGAGAATTGGCGATGGAAACCCACAAAATGCAATCTTCCAAGATTTGACCCCAAAAAGTTTCTAGAATTGATGAGAGGAAAGACATTAGCTTTTGTAGGTGACTCTGTTGCCAGAAATCAGATGGAGTCAATGTTATGCATTCTTTGGCAAGCAAGTTTTCCGCATTCCTTCTCTTTCTCTTTCTCTTCTCTAATATAATTACAACTACTACATGCATATCTTAATAGAAATAAATAACCCAATAAAGTTTAATCCAATCCAATCCTTTCATAACATGGATTCCTATTTCTCAATGATCATATGAATTTTTATGAAATCAAACTAATGTTGTAATAGAAAGTAATTATAGTAGGATGCTATAAGACACAAATAAATGAAAGTATATTGTTATTTCTTGCATTCAGACCTTTAAATTACAGAAAAACACCATGTACTTTCACAACTTTATCGATTAAGCCCCTCACAATTATACTTTATTTGTCTTATTCAAAAGTATGCAAATCGCACCTATTTTTAGTAAGACGTTTAATCGGTAGAAGTAGTTTGTGTATTTCTTAACTTTCCCAACAAATAATACATTTTATCGATTATCCCTATACTAAAAAAATATTTAAAACATTTACAGGTGGAAGCTCCAAAAAACCGTGGGAATAAAAGAATGCAACGTTATTATTTCCAATCAACATCCGTAACAATCATACGGATATGGTCATCATGGCTAGTCCACAAAACAACCGAAAAATTTGATTTTGCACCCGAGGGTGTAGACAAGCTCCACCTCGATATCCCTGATGAAACTTTTCTAAATGACATTCCCACTTTTGACATTCTCGTCCTTTCCTCTGGTCATTGGTTCGCAAAAAAAGCCGTTTACATTTTAAACAACGAAATTGTGGGCGGACAATTATGGTGGCCTGACAAATCCCGTCCAAAAAAAATCGAATCCCCCGAAGCTTTTAAAATATCTGTAGCAACTATTATGTCCACCCTCGTGAGTAGCCCGGGTTACACCGGGCTAACTGTGGTCCGATCTTATTCACCGGACCACTACGAGGGTGGAGCCTGGAACACAGGCGGGTCATGTACCGGGAAGGTGAAGCCCGCCGTGGAGTTGGTGGAGAATGGGTTTACAAATATGATGCATGATAAACAAGTGTTGGGGTTTAATCTTGGTGTGAAAAATAAAACGAATAAATCGCAGGTTGTGCTTATGGATATTACAAAAGCTTTTGCGTATAGGCATGATGGTCATCCGGGCCCGTATAGGAGTCTTGACCCGAATAAGGTGGTGAAAAGGAGTGCGGATGGGCGGCCCCCACCACAAGATTGTTTGCATTGGTGTATGCCGGGCCCGGTTGACACGTGGAATGAGTTGTTGGCTGAGGTTATAAGGAGGGATTTTGAGGGTGGGGATGGGGATTGATTTATTGATTGGTTTTTAATTTCTTATGCTGTAGAGGATTAAGCAGTTGTACATACTATGTTGTTTGTCATAGACTGCTGCTATTAATATCATGGTTGTCAAAATCGCGATCCTGATCGTACGATCCTATGATCCTATGTATGAAAAACGATCCGGATCGTAAAAGGATCGTATTTGGGGTACGATCGCAGGTAGGATCGTAGGATCGAGATCCGATCCGATCCTACCTTTCCTTGATTTTTTTTTTTTTTTTTTTTTTTTTTTTTTGCAAATGAAAATTTTTTACCACTTCATGTCTTTTACCCTTACCAATCTACCATTTATCATTTTTTATTATGATTTATGACTAATATTTTGAAGTTTTTATAACTTTTGAACGAAAAATTAAATGTTTGAAATATTCTTCATGATTAAATATTATAAATTAAAATTATATTTTATTTTGTGGGATCTTAGGATCTCGATCCCGATCTTGCAAACCCAAAAACGATCTTAGGTAGAATCCCGATCTTGACAACCTTGATTAATATATGAGAGTTATAACGTTTGTTGGTTTTCATTATTCTTGTGTTATTATATGTTTATCTAGGCGAGTTTAACTTAATTTATAGTTTAATTGTATTGTTATGCTAAGTTGAAATTTTACGAGAGATCTATTTCATACCTTATATGGACCTAAAAACATCTCTAATGAAAGTATTTTTGATATGTCAGTTATGGGTAAATGACACAAAAAACACTCTTTTTACACAGAAATTCGATTTTGACACTGTGTTTTTTTTTGTGTCAATTTTGACACTGTGTTTTCCAATTTGTTACAATTCTGACCACTTGACCGGTTAACCAGGTTACATGCTGACATGACATGATGACGTGTCAGTTTTGATGACGTGGCATGCTGACATGATATGCTGACGTGTCAAAATTGATTTTTTTTCCACAAAAAACACTAAGTTTTCACTTTTTTTCGATTTTGACACTAAGTTTAATTTTTTATTTCAATTTTGACACTATGTTTTTTTTTGTTCTAATCGAACATCATTTATCAAATTTTGTTCAATTTTGTCTATTTTCCATTTGAAACCGTATAAATATATTTTTTTTATTACATTTTAAACCGTATAAACATATTTTTTTCGTTTAAAAACCACATTTTAAAGTTGCATATTTAATATAAAATACAATTTTTATATAACTAATACATATTTATACATAAAATATGGTTTGAGTGTAAAAAAAAATGTATTTATACAAAACTATGGTTTTTAAATGAAAAAAAAAACATATTTATACGGTTTAAATGTATTAAAAAAGTATTTATATGGTTTCAAATAAAAAATTGTCAACATTGAACAAAATTGGAAAAAATGATGTTCGATTTGGAACAAAAAAACATAGTGTCAAAGTTGAAAGAAAAAATTAAACTTAGTGTCAAAATCGAAAAAAAAATGAAAACTTAGTGTTTTTTGTGAGAAAAAAATTCAATTTTGACACGTCAGCATATCATGTCAGCATGCCACGTCATCAAAACTGACACGTCATCATGTCACGTTAGCATGCAACATGGTTAACCGGTCAAGTGGTCAGAATTGTAACAAATTGGAAAACACAGTGTCAAAATTGACACAAAAAAAAAACACGGTGTCAAAATCGAATTTCTGTGTAAAAAAAATGTTTTTTTGTGCCATTTACCCTGTCAGTTATTAAGAATCAACTGCAAAAAGTTTGACATGATAGCTTTTTTGAGGTGATTTATACATACCAATTTTATTCTACTAAATGTCTTTTGGACTTTTGCTTTTTATACAATTATCTGTTTTTTTTTTCAATAGAGTTCTATTTTACTTCTCTAATTATATTAATCTTTTATTCATTTTTGACTAATTAATTTATTTTATTTTTATCTTCAATAGCAAATATTAAATTTGTGATTGTTGTAACTCATAATATACTAATGGTTGCTTTAAATCTTCCATAAATAGTATTTATGTACATGAATTTTACAACCTTTGGTTTACTTAACTTTTGCCTTGTATAAGTTGGTTGTTATGTATTTGTAAATATATTTGTATGGTCAATGCGAATGGTTGAGTTGAATTAGTTTTCCATATAACATGTTATTGTCACTTTGCTCAAAGAGGGAAGTATCATAGTTGACTTTTGTCGTTTGAGGAGTAACAAAAAAAAAAAAAAAACAAACTAAAAAAAAAAAAAAACAAACAAAACAAAACTAAACTAAAAAACAAACAAATCAGTTCATCGAAGATAATGTCGTTCAAACTTGATTTCCCAATTTTGGATGTTGTCAACAAGAAATATTTGGACTGGATTTAACATATTGATAACCATCTAGATGCCCAAGATTAGGAGTGGCAAATCGTGCTATCGTTTTATGTTTTTGTCTGACACGACACGACACGACAAGGTTTTATGTAACACGAACACGACACGACACGACAAGGTTTTATTTAACTAACACGAAAACGAACAAATTAAAAAACGACAAACACGACACGACACGAAAAATATATCATATACTAGAAACTAGTTTATTTAATGAATTTTTTATCAAATATAACACGAAAAACACGACAAACACGAAAAACACGATAAAAAACTGCTAAATTGTGTCAATTTCGTGTCAAATTTTGAACATGAACACGACACGACACGACATCGTGTTTTTTACAGTTAATACGAACACGACACGAACACGAATTCAAATTTCAGTTTCGTCCCAATTTCGTTTCATGTCGTGTATTTTTGTCGTGTCGTGTCATAAATTGACACCCCTACCCAAGATCTATTAGATGACATAATAGATGACATTTATAACGAGGACGATCATGAGGTTGAAGTTAATCAGAAATGAATGCTAGGGCAATGATATTATTTTGCCGGCATCTATCACACACCATTAAATTGTAACCGTAAACAAACGAGTGTTATATTACAAAAGTATCTTACCACACATCCTATAATGACAAAGAAAAATTCAAACAATTGTTCACATCTTTCTAGATGTGGGTAAAAGTTCTGTTATTTGAAAGATTATGACACTAAAGTGGGAAGTTGACAAAGCTTTTTTATGAACTCGACTTGATGAACTCATTTTCAAATGAATAAGCTATTATGACTTTTTGGTTGTAATGAAAGAAATGATGTAAACAAAGGTTGTATTTGTGAAACTTTCCAAAATGTACATTATCTACGGTAATATACTATGCCAGTTCGGGATGCACCCGTTGCTGACATGTCAAATTTTGGACTTATTTTACGTCACATCTCACATAACTTTCTATAAGTCCAAAATAGACATAAATACTCCATAATACATGTGTTCCGAATAAAATACTTATTTTTCAAAAATAAAAAGGTTATTTTTATTAATTAATTCATTAAATAAAAGCTAATCGATATCCCTTAAATGAATTGTTAAATTTTTTAAGGTTACTATTTTATTATTTTTATTATTATTTTTTTTTAAGGTTACTAATACTCGATGATAACCACTTATGTAAATTTTCTACTCTAGTTTAATTGCAGCATTAAGCCACTTCGCTTTTTTTTTTCCCTGCTAATTTGGCCGGAAATAGTTTTGTGTAAATAATTATTTAAAAATACTATAAATGAGTAATAAATTATTTGTTTATAAAATACTGTTAACTTTTATTAAAATAACGGTATTTTACAAAGACAATTCCATCCCGTTCGCAGTTCAACTTAACGAGAGAAAAGAAAAGAAATGAATGAAAGTGAGAAGTAAAAGAAATTTGTGTTCCCAAGTTTCATTATAGATAAAGAACAAAATATTTATTTTTCCTCCTAACTTTCATTCTGATTCGGAGAGAAAGAACAAAATATTTAATTTTCTTTTCTTTTATCTCCTACTCGGGAACACAAAGATGAAGTTCTTTTCCTTTCCTTCATCTTTTTTCTCTCATTACTTTGTTTTCTTTTCTTTACTTAAACTCGGGAACTAAGCGGAATAGTTTTTTTTTTCTTTTTTTATAAATCAATGTTGTTTTATAGATAGACAAATAAATCATTGTCGACTTATAAAATTAATCCTACTTTTATTTGTCGGTTTTAGTGCCGATAGGATCCTTCATATTTTTAGATGACATATATTATTTAGTTTTTATTTATAACCAGATTTAAATGGGCAACATCATCAACTTCTCCCTTCTATACTTCTTTTTTGTCTGACTCAAGTCAACAGAACTTGTTGTAATTTAGGATTTCTGTAATTGAGTTTTCATTTAATATGAATCGCCTAAAATTCAATCTAGTTTGATTTTTTTTTTGGATTTGGACCAAAAACAAAATTTTTTAATCAAAACTGCTCACACCTAATGGCCGTTAATTTTAATCTAAGAGGGGCACCATATTGGGCTTTCTTTAGCATAGAAGTGCTTCAAAATCTCACATTAGTTATCCTTTAGTTTTATATACAAGTTTTATTTTACAACTTTTTTTAACTTATTATTATGAATATATAAAAATACATATTGTTTCTAGAAATTACATTATTAAATATTGTAACACCCCAATTTTCAAGATAATAAATATCAAAATATAACTATCCGAGCATCTCCCAAGATCAATTCTAACACTTAACTATTGACTAAAGTACAACGGAAACATAATAAAATAAAATAAAGTCTTCAACCGAAGAGCTTCGGGTGTTACGTCTTTGCGGAACTCCTTTGTCGTCTTGTTGATCAATCATTCTCTTTAGTTTTCTTACTGCCACTTGTATAAATAGTTTTCTGGGTTGCACACATTTAAAGTTTCTAAAAGGGTAAGCGTAGGGCCTAGTGAGTTCGTGTTGCACATACATGTCCCTCACTTAAAAAAAAACAAAAGGGTTTTATCATATAGTTTCAATAAATTATACAACAAAATATATCACCTGATGACATAATTTATGAGAACGATTAATTATCTAGAGAAAGAACCAAATGTTCATTTCATTTCTCCTTGAGACAACTCATCAT